GCTGCGACCGCGACTGTGATGAGCTCGTCACCGTCGACTGCTACAACCCGCGCACCGGCCACTGGCGCTACCTGGCCGAGTTCCCTGAGCACCTGGGTGGGGGCTACAGCGTCGCCGCGCTGGGCAACGACATCTACGTCACCGGTAAGGCGCGCGGGGTGCAAAAGCGCTGGTGTTGAGGTTTCCCTTGAAAATACATGGGTTCTGGCAGCAAGACTTGGCTTTTCTCGGGGTAGTGGACAGTCTGAAATGGCTCGGCCTTGGTACGACTGGCCCGAAGACAGGCATGGGGGCTCCTGGGGTCGGTGCAGGATTTAGCAGCTGGTCTCGCTCCGGGAGGTATTTTGTCATGACTAATGCTCCTGAGCACGTGGCAGCGGTCACAGATCTTGCACTGGTAGAACTTTCTAACCGCTCACTCTGGGGGACAGAAGTGACTTGAGAGGGTTTTGAATTTCTGTCTGCGAAGATGTTTGGGTTCAGAGCCCCATGAATCACAAGCCAAGCGCGTGCTTGAGGCAGAGGCGCGTCAGAAAGCCCCTGGTTCCTCAGCCAGCCATTGCCTATGAGTCACGGTACCTTCCCCGGCACGAATCATGCCTCCTCGCAGTCCGCTGGGGCTATAATTACCTCTGTCAAGGTGACACGGATGTGTAAATTTGGCTGTTAATCTGCATGTAGATGCCTCCTTTGAACTACAGCCCCATAGCTAGAGCAGCAGCCCTGCGGTGGCTGTAACAAACCAAGGCCTGGGAAACCAGGTGCTGCAGAACAGCTTTCTCTGGGTGCGCAGGACGCGCTGACAAAGATTTGAAGGGCAGGTCAAATGCAGGTGAACAGAAAACTGTTCGTTCTCTGGTCACGAGCAGAAAACAAGGCTCCACTTTAAGGGCGGAGTTGTAAAAATGAGGGGCTACCGCACAGCTCATTTGTACGGACACCCTTGCGTCCCGTGGGAGCTTTTTGGAGCAATCCCAGGCGGGTCTGGGGGTGCCGATACTGCCGGGAGCGCTGTGCTTTGGCATGGCTGCTGCTGGCGGGGATCTTCGGCCGCTCTGCTTAGTGTCAGCATCGTAGCGCAGGCAGCAGGGAGGGATGGAAGGTTTCCGTGCTGCCAGTGGCAACGCTGCCTTGGCAGCCGGACGCTGGGGAGCGTCAGTCACAGCAGCTTCTGGATAGTGACGGGGTTGGGGTTGCAAAATGGGGAAGAAAATAGTTAGTTGGAAGGATGGAGGTGGTTGAACCTGGGAGACTCATTTTGAGTTGTGGCTGGGTACAGACCAGGAATAACATGGGAGAAATCCTTCCTGGCTTGCCAGGAAAGAAACGGTGCAAAACTTCCCTTAAAATCCTCACCGTGCACGCTACTGTGGTCCCCCAGTACAGAAATATTTTCACAATGTATGGCCCCGGGAAGCAGAAAACTGTGTGGTGGGGGTATTGAGAAGGTGTAGCTGAAGACATAACAAAGCTCCCGGTCCCGAGCCAAGCCCTCTTCTCCATCGCCCCATAGTACTTCCCTTTGCGAAACCAGACTTTGAAATGTGGCGTGCTGTGCTGCAGGAGGATCGGACGGGTCGAGGCTGTACGACTGTGTCTGGAGGTACAATTCCAGCGTGAACGAGTGGACGGAGGTGTCTCCCATGCTGAAAGCCAGGGAATACCACAGCTCCACAGTCCTGGACGGGCTGCTCTACGTGATCGCCTCTGACAGCACGGAGCGCTACGACCACTCGGTGGACAGCTGGGAGGCTCTGCAGCCCATGCTGTACCCCATGGACAACTGCTCCACCACCTCGTGCCGCGGCAAGCTGTTCGCCATAGGCTCCCTGGCTGGCAAAGAGTCCATGGTCATGCAGTGCTACGACCCCGACAGCGACCTCTGGTCCCTCGTGAACTGTGGCCACCTGCCTCCCTGGTCCTTCGCCCCAAAGACCGTCACGCTCAATGGCCTCATGTACTTCATCAGGTGAGCAGCGGGAGCGATAACCTCCCTCCCCACGTCCCCCCGAGGCCAGCCCAGGGTTCCCCCGGGAAGGCGTGCTGGTTTTGTGGGTGGTCGTAGGAGAGCACTGCATTGGGAAAGCACGGCGGTGCTTCCTCTGACCGTGCAGGTGGGTCTGGAAACCGCCACGCCTCTTCCCTTTACTTCTGTTGTAGCTAGACCTCAAAGAGCCAGGCTTAAAATTGTGTAAAAATGTCTGAATCTAAACCCACGGGCTGGGGAATAGCCAGGTATAAATCTGGCTGAAGCCAGCAGCACTGCTTGGAAATAGCCGTCTCGGTTTTCTTGGCTTCTGGTTCAACCCCCCCGTTGTTGCTATAAATAAGTGAGTAAGCTCCAAGAAAACGTTAAACTGTAGCGCAGGAGAGGACATCCTCCGTCTCAGCAGAGATAAGAGGACTGAAGATGAAATGATTGGTCACTATTTTTAAGCACCTTTCCAAATTGGGACTTAATTACCCATCTGAAGCTGTCCTGGTGGCGCAAATACTTTGGTTATCCACTTCATTAAAAATAAACTGAAAGGCATGCTAACGCTGAAGCGTTACATCTTGTGTTGACTTTGAGCAAACATAGACTTCTGTGATGGCCTCCAGATGCTTTTCTTTTTTCAGTCTTCTCTTGGCTTTGTGTAAAGCAGCAACTTCTGCCCCAGACCTTTTGCTTGATTCCTTTGGGTTCGGCCGAGAGTCTCGGTTCCAGGCAGTTGTTTGCAGGTAGCAGTTTGAGTCACTGGGTTTTCAGCAAATACTGGCAGGGGTGTTCTGGCTGTTTGGCTACTTGTCACAAGCCGGTTCTATAGGCTTCCCTTTTTCTTATCCACTTGAAAATACTGATGATTTGACGTTTCAGGATTTCTGATCGCTTAGGTATCTGCAGGAGTTAATGAGGAGGTTATTGAGGTCAGGTTTTTCTCCCCTCATTTCACATGCTGCTCTGTATAAAGCTGTACAATAATCTTTGGAGGACAGAGGAATAGGTTACGAATGAAAGTCACAAACTCATTTCTTGGTTAGTTTTAAATAGCTCAGACTAAAGCTTCTGACTGACGACCCCCTCTAGTGGGACAAGTTTTATGACTATAAATACGGCATAGCAGCGAGGCTTAGGTCTTCAGCTGTGTCCTTCTTAGAGCTCACCCTGAGACGGGAGAGGAGGTCCAGGCCTGACTTCACCAGTGCCTGGAAACGCCTTTGCCTCTCGTCTCCCTTTCAGTCCGGTGGGGCTCTCAGCTTCATGCCTGGAAGTATGTGACTCGCCCGCTGCTGTTAGTTATGGGAAGCGTTGTGAGCAGCAGCAGTTCTTTGTAGGAATGCTTGTCCAGAGCGTAACCAGAAAGTCCCATGGCACGCGCCTCGGCTTCACCGCAGGCTTAGCAGGCGGATTTCTAGACTAATGGCTTGCTAAACAGACGCTGCTGTTGTAGGTGAGATTTCTCGCTTATTTTTACTCCCTCCCCCTGCTCAGATTTATGTCAGCAATCGATAGCGATACCTTGTCACCTGCACAATGTGTGGCAACGTGCGATGTCATGATAGATACAAAGACAATAAAATATTCCTTGCGGCCTTTTGAATCCGTCTGTAACGGGACTGTCTTGGAGTGACTGACAGCACTTCTCCAGCTGCCCTGACCTTGTCCTCTTCGCATTCTTGTGTCAGGGGTGTGCGTTTCTGCGTCGCAAACGTCCCTCACCTGTCGCTGTCGCCCTCCCGTCTCACAAGTGGAGCGGGTGAGAGAAGCCTTGGGGGATTACGCTGTCCCTGCCAGCTCTTCTCTCACAGTCCTCTGGCCCATCTAAATTTGGCATTGGTGAAAAACTTGAGCAGTAGGGATGCCATTATTTTGAAGCACATGGAGGTTTAAGCCTCTCCAGAACAGCAGTAATTTTTCTTCCAGACCCTGAAGCACTTGGCACCAAAGCCAGGTCAGTCTGTGAAATGCAGACATGAAGAAAGGCTGCGAACACCCCTACCATAGATGCAGATGTAAAAAAAAAAAAAAACTGCTAGATTTGAGAAAGTCCTCAGGATTGTGCAGCAATTTCCAGCCCAGCAGCAGCATACTTGTGCGCTGGACTCCGAGTGGGGCTTGCGGTCCGGAGCAGCTCACCCCGCTGTCTCGGGTGGAGCGACGAACTTTGGGAGGTGGAAAACAGCACATGCTGTCAGCTTGCTCTGTCCCCAGGCATCTTGTCTGCCCTCCCTCCTAGGCAGTGTCCTAAAACTCAGCGTACACCAGAAGGCATAGAGCACATTGCTTTGCCTGTAGAGAAGCTCCGAAGGGGCGTTCGGGCTCTTTGGATGTAGGTCACTGGCACTGAGAACAAGATGTGCTCCTGCGCTAATACGTGGTACGTGCGCGATGTCTGTGCCAGCCTGCGTCGTGTTTAGGGGTGCAGCAGAGAGGGCCAGGCGTTTTCTGGGGTTGAACGTCACTGCTGGCACAGGAGGAGCCCATGCTGGAGGCTGCATCGAGACCTGCGCCTTCGTACAGGAACCCTTTGGTCTCTGATAACACGTAGCGGGATTGGAGCACAAGTGCTCATGGCGGCGTTTCAGGCTGTTGAACTGGGGGCTTCACAAGGCAGGAGGTTTTTGGAACGCAGAAGAGTAATTTTGTGTTATCTCCCACAGAGACGACTCAGCTGAAGTGGATGTTTACAATCCAGCGAAGAATGAATGGGATAAAATCCCTGCCATGCTTCAGGTAGGACGCTTACCCTGACCTACTGGGTATCTTCCAGTGTTAAAAATCGGCTTAATTTACCTCTGGAAAACAAGGTGCTCTTTAGATTATAACCCCTTGCCCACGGAGTGCGTTTCAGCATATCGCAGTCACCTGGAAGAAAAAGTCCTGGTCTGTGATTGCGTATCCAGGTGCGCAGCCCGGCACGTGAGAGCTGGGGACAGCGAGAAAGCTCTGTCTGCTCCCGGTGTTGGGCAGCGCTGGTTCGGCATCAGCAGCTGGTGGGTGCTGAGCCCCGTCCAAGCAAGCCGCTGCAGGACAGCACCCGACACCTTTATCGTCTGCCTAATGGGGCAAAGCCCTCCTTTAACTGTTGTGTACGGTTATTTTTAAATTGCAGGTTCATGTTGGGGGGAGCGTGGCCGTGCTCGGCGGGAAGCTCTACGTCTCCGGTGGCTACGATAACACGTTTGAACTCTCGGACGTGCTGGAAGCCTACGACCCCGAGACACGAACGTGGAGCGTGGTGGGCCGGCTCCCCGAGCCCATCTTCTGGCACGGCAGCGTCAGCATATTCCGGCAGTTCATGCCGGAAACCACACAGGAGGACGACGGCATCATGCTGGACAACACCATCAACTTGAACAGGCAGCGCCAAAACCTTCACAACCAGAACCTTAACGAACTTCGTTAGCAGGGGAAGGCGCTGCACCCCTGGCTCGACGCGAGATCGTTCTCCAGAACCAGTGTTGCTTTGAGAGAAGGCAGAGGCAAACCGGTGCTTGGAAACAAAAACGTACTGATCCTAGAGGGAGTGAAAACTCTGCATGTTTGAGGCGCTGTTGCAGAACCGCAGCCGGCGAGGCCTCCGCTGCGGTGTCCCTCGGCCCGTCTCTGGGGTGGGAGAAGGCGCCGCGCTGCCCGCAGAGGAGACCCGAGAGGTGAACTCTGAGGAAAGCGATCGCGTTGAACGGCACCGCAGCGTTGCAGCTTATGGCTTTTGGTCAGACGCCTTTCACTGGGAGCTCCTTCACCCCGTAACGCTTCGTTTGCCGCTAAACTCCTTTCTTCAGTTTCTTTTTCGGGAGGGGTCTGTCTGGTAGGACGGTGGTCTGGACCCCACCTCTGTTCCGTGCCTCGGAGGAGGACAGACCTGCTGTGCACGTCTTCCTCTGCGTGGTTAGAGGCGGGAAGGGCCTTCCCACAGAGCTGGAGGTCTGTTAGGGGCGAGAGGTCGATAGGAGAACGCGGCCCTTCCTGCCCTGCCGCCGTGGTCCTCGGTTCCCGTTCCTGTAGCAGGCATCTCGCCGAGGCAGGGTTAGGAGGCTTCACCTTTCCCTTTGTCTGAACTTCAGTTCCTCCTGTATTTTGGTGGTGGGTTTTTTTTTTAAGTTGCACCATTTAAACTTTTGCAGGTATTTGTTTTCCAACCCTTCCTAGCAGAGCACTTTTTCCTTTGAAGAAGAAACACCCTTATTTATCTTGTAATCACATTCTCACAACTAGAGTGTTTTCATTTCTGATTGCCCTCCTTTAAGGGGAAGGGGAGAAGCGAGTACCCCTCCTAGCTGGCCCAAGGAGCGACTCCTTGGGCTGGCCGCTGCTGCCCTCGAGGACGAGCCGTTCCCCCTTCCCGGTGCGACAGGGCTTGGCGATAGCGGGGCCGAACTAGGCAGAAAAAGCTGCTGCCTGTGGCGAGGGCTGTTTGCTGTCGGTTCTCCTGTGCTGAGCAATCGGCCGGCATGCTGGGCTGGGCAGACAGGCCCCACGAAGCGAGCGCGAGTTTTTATTTCTTCACTGTTTTAAAGGAGCTAAATCAGCATTGTGCTATTTTAGGGGAAAAAAACCCCAAACAACTCACGGGGAAAGGTGAGCGCAGCTTCCTCAGGAGATTCACTGCAGGCTTGCAGAATTGCTGGTGGTGTTCAGATACCTTGATGCAGAATTGCTTTTAAATGCATCACCTTGTGGGAAGGAACCCACCAGACCTTTGGAGAGGTCTCGTGCCTGTCGTGCCTCTGGTTTGCAGGAGCTCTCGGGATTTGGGCAATCGGAAAATGCCGCCAAGGTGTTTTGGCAAAGGTGTAGGAGTTAGCCAGAGTGTTGCGGATTGAAAGGTAGCTATTTTAGGGGTTTTTGTTCTTCTTTTTGTTTGGGGTTTGCTGGGTTTTTTTGGCCTGTGTAAGATTTGCCTTTATACTCGCCCAAGTGACCTCGCTAGCTTGGGCTGTGTTTCCTCTATCTACCTTAGCTGAAGAGAAGCTGCGTGCAGTTTACTCATGGAATGTTTCTTGAACAAGCAAACAGCTAAAACTGCGGTACGGCTCACCCAAAAACGAGCATCGCACCTTCGGGAAAATGTAAAGCGTGACAACGGCTGAAGTGTTGGCTGGATGCGTTCGCTTTTTCTGTCTTTCATTTTTAACCAATGGGAAAAAAAAATTAATTTAAACTTAATTCAGAGACGGAAAGCCCTTATACTTGATTGCACGCCTTCCAGCTTGCCCTTGGATTGAGTAGTGTTGGAGCCCCATCTCCACAGCATCAGCCTCTTCGCAGCTCGTAAAAAAAAGAAAAATCTGTTTTGCCTTGAGTGCTATTTTACACCACGCTCCTCAGCTGTAGAACTTGGGAAAGCCGCTCATGAAATCTGGGCTGTTCTCCAAGTCTGAAACTTTGACAGTGCCTTGAAACGGCCGCGTGCCGGCGGAGGGGTGTAAACCCCTCCCTG